GCTCGCAGTAAAAAATTTCGTCTTCCAGTAATCACTGCATTGCGTAGTAAACACCAATACAGAGGCTGTTTAAATGATTTTTACACAGGATTTGTTTAAAAAAAAATTAAAATTTGAATAAGTTGTTTTTGAGAAGGAAAATACACATTTTTGGTAGGATAATGAACACCAAGCATTATCCCTGTTTCTCGTATTCTCGAGGTTTCTCGTATTCTCGGGGAATATTTAAAACGGATGGAAGCGACGCTCGCGACTTCCATTGATATCCGAAAACATGTCTATATTTAGCAGAGCATTTTCATCTCCATTAGAAAAATAAAAGAAATGCGACAAAAACAGATAAAAAACCAAAAAGTCGTAACATCCAGAGAATAAACATTAAATTTATCTTTTTTCACCCAAAAATCATCAATTTTCTAGTTTTTTCCATGTTGCAGAAACCTGTAGCGGGTCTCTGATGCAAGACGCTTCAAATGACGGTCTCATACTACTATTTATACAATACAGCTCAAAATATTTGTTCCACGAATAGATAGTATAAAATAGATATGAACTCCAATTAAAAACCAATAATGAAACATTGTTTGTCCTAAACACATTTCATTTTTGACAACTGCAATGGAAAACAGTAGTATTCATTGTTTAATGCTCATATAACTAATAAGTAACTAATAAATAAACGTAAACTTAATATATATTAGAGAGATTATGTAAATAACAACACTTTTAAAATGGAGTTCAAACTATTCTTGGAACATTTATCAAAATCATTTGGTACCAAAGAGGCGTCAATATGATCCTAAAAGTTTGATATGGCCTGCCAAGCTGTTATTAAAACACAATAAAATTACAGATTTAGGCCATTTTACACTTAATTAGGTGTGGCACTAATGATTTGAACTGGTATGTGGAATAAAATCATCACATAGCGTCCGGCCTTAACAACCAATCAAATTCCACGAGAATACGAGAAAGCACCTGCTTCACATAGAGGGTGAAGGTCAGTATATACAAGCAGAAATATCTTTAGTTTTGCTTACAGTTACGATCTTTCTTTCTTTGTATTTTGTTAATAAGGTATTTCTCTGTGTATCAGGCTAAAAATACTGTAACAGAATGTTTTATAAATATCATGCAACCAAGTTTAGTCCTTAACCCCCCGAGAATACGAGAAAACAGGATATTTGTAACATTTTACATAGGGAGTTTGAATGATTGTGCATGTTTATTGTTTTTTATTTTGCTATGGACTTTTAAAAAGATATCTTTAGACGTTAGGGTAAAGGATCGCAAATACGGACAGATGACAATTTCGGACACCAAACTGTATAAATCTAATATCTTATAACTAATACGCCATAGGATTAAATTAAATAACCTACTTTTACTTTGAATACGAATATCCTTATCTACAACTGTGAATTATAATGTATTCTTAAATCCTAATCAAGCAGGCCCGCTGGGTTCTTTCCCTTTTCGTTACCGAGTCGGAAAGTTTAAAACCGCGAAAATTCAAACAAGAATCACGGTGAGTATATTTCTCAACGATTGTCCATAAAACAATTATTCACTGTCTTATTTGTGCTTGACATATGACATACTTTGTCTTTAAATGTAGAAATTGTCGAAGATATACTTTAAAATCCCTAAAAATAAGAAAAATAAAGTGTCCGAACTTCCCCGATCACTACTTATGGGCAGCATTTAATTTTGAACCAGAACATTTTTAATTTCGGACATGTTCTGAACATTTGAAATATGTCCTCGTATATCAAGGTTGGTTGCTATTAAACCACATTTATTCAGCATAGCTTTCGGTTTCAGATCTTTGAGATGGCTAGAAAATCTAAAAACATCTACAAAAAATACGACGACAATTTGATTAAAGCAGCAATAGATGTCATAAAATCTGGTCAAATGTCATTGCGTAAAGCGTCACAACACTACGGGATACCAAAATCGACATTAAGTGACAGATTAACAGGGAAGGTTGCCCCTGATGCTTAATCTGGTCGTCCTCCTACAGTGCCATTAGATGTGAAAGCAGACATAGTTGGACGTGTGACAACAGCAGCTGGGTGTGGTTTTGGCATAACAAGGCGAGATTTGTTGATAAAAACAGGCCGATTATGCCAGAAAATGGGTCTCAAAACTCCATTCAAAAATGGAATACCAGGCCTTAAGAGAAGACATCCATGTATTGTAATCCATAAGCCAGAGAAGTTTGGTACATCTCGAGCCAGGTGCCTTAATCCAACTATTGTTAACCGATATATAGATGATCTTGGTAAACTCTTTATCAGTCTTGGAATTGAGAATAAGCCATCTCAAATATGGAACATGGACGAGACAGGCAAACAATTTGAGCACAACTCAGTCCGTGTAGTAGCAAGAAAAGGGGTGAAAAATTTACCGGGACTTACTAGTAATCAAAGGACCAACACCACCAATTCCTGGCATGCGTAAGTGCAAGTGGTCAAGCTATGCCTCCTCTTATGATCGTGAAAGGTAAGACCCAACGGTCACTATATTCGTGGAACACGGCTGCAGCGCCCCAAGGGACTAAATGGGCCTTCCAAGAGAATGCATGGATGATAGAAACTATATGTAAGGACTGGTTTGAAGAAATATTTCTTCCCTTCTGCGGCAGTGCTAGACCCCAATTATTGATTTGTGATGGTCATCGTTCACATGAAGCACATGCACTCCTGGAAATTGCCAAAGATAACAAGAACAATATTGAAATTCTGGCTCTCCCTCCCCATACTACTCACTGACAAGAGTGTGTTTGGCCCTTTTAGTGCATATTACAACAAAGGTTGTACTGAATTTCTCTCAGCTAGTCCTCATCACACAATGAATAAATGGTCATTCCCTGAGATCATTGCACGGGCTTGGGAACGTGCCATGACTGAAAAAAATATAACTAGCGGATTTTCATCATGTGGTATATACCCCTTCAATCCACGTGCTTTACGTACAGACGATTTGTTACCATCGACTATTTTTGACAAGCCTTTGCATGTCATCACCTCATCAGTTACACCCACCTCTACAATGACTGCGACTGCGCTTGAAGAGAATTATGTTGACGTATCAGAAGTTAGTACTACACTGAACCTAGCTACATCAAGTACGTCTATCCCTTATGAACCCTTGCCTGACCAACAGATTGAAATGCCTACCCCCTGTGCAACACAGATTGTACCATCAATATCATCTACGAGCAATATCTCTATCCTTACTCCAAAATTTTACTCGGACGGCCCTAATGAAGCAGTAGAACATCAAGAAATTTCGTACATTCTTCCTCTATTTCCCGAGATTATTATTGAAGATATAAAACTCTCTGGTGGGGATTTTTGTAGTGAAAATTATTTGCCCAATGAAAATCAATCCCAGAATGATGAGTTGACTGCACTTGCTCCTATGCCACAGTGCAATTGGAATGTTGACATTAATTCCATATTTAATGTCCCACAAAATGTTAATGTAAATGAAAGAAAGAGGAAAAGTACCGTAAGTACTTCGCACAGGCTACTCACGTCCAATGAAGTATTGGCTGAAAAGAGGCAGAAGCAGCTTGATAAAGAAAACATCTTGCAGTTAAAAGAGCAATGTCGCCATGCGAGAGAGGTAAAAAAGGCCGTGAAATTTATTCAGGATTTAAAAAAAGATCAACGTTAATTTAAAGGTGGGTTTATTTTATTACAGAAACAGTTTTTGCACATTATTCTTCGACATTTTCTAACATTCTAAGATTAAAAATTACATAACAATATACAATAAAAACAACGCTACGATCAGGGGAAAAAAAACGTAAACTAATCTATTCCAAATAATTCTGTTTAATATTCAGTTATATTATTTTTTTTAAAAAGCTCCTACTTATACATTATAAATTATACTCTAAATTTTTGTGAGTGTTTATTTAAAGAAAATATGAACACGCCAACTGCTGCTTACCTGATATTCTTCTATCGACATTTTCAAACATTTTAAGATTAGAAAATACATATCAATATACATTACCCAACAAAGCAACGATCAGGAAACAAACTGTAAAATAATCTATTCAAAATGATTATATTTAAAGTTCTCACTTACGCATTGAAATTATATTCTGTTTTTTGTCTATTTACAGTAAATATGAACACGTCAACTGCTGCTCACCTGAGAGATAGAGAACTTTTTGGAAGTCTATCATTGTATACGAAATGAAAGCAATACTTAACACTATGGTCAATTGTGAATACCTTTACGACCATCCGCTGATTGACGATATATTTGTCTATCTTAGAGACTAAGTCACTTCGTCTGCTCCAATATTTGTACATTAAGAATGTTATATGAACGTTACAAGATTTTACGCGACATTTGTGAAGAGGACCAAAGCATTGTTTGGGTGGCACAGTCATATGCCCTAGAAGTTAATGATTGTTACTTGTTGAATTTAACAGAAACTGTTAAAAAAGAATCACTTTAATGTTGTCCCTTAAGTGAAATGAACTGATACATATGTCAAAAAAGAAATAAAGTATGTTTAAGTCTCTTCTGGCGACGATAATGTTGCTTTTTTAAAAAATGAAAATGTGTCCGAAATTCCCCCGCTTCTGTCCGTATTTACCTGATTTTACTCGATTAACAATTTGTGAATTTTCTTTGTAATTTGCAGCTAGGAGCCAGTATAAGATCCTTACATAGCATAGTTCCCGGCTAAATAGGCTACAGACGGTTAAATACAAATTCACAGCTAGACTAATGAAATTGCTCGCAGAATGCAAAAAGTGTCCGAAGTATGACGGCATTACCCTAAAGCGGATTTGACCCATGTAAAAAATAGCTTCAAATCACCGGTTACGTCTAAAAATTTGGAATAGAGTCTCTGTGGATTTTATTTTTTTTTTTCAAAAAGTGTCAGATTGATAGTGCCCGACCAGTAAAGTACCTCGAGGATACCTCTATACAATAAATATATAAAACAAAATACTGACGCCTACCTTCACAAGAGAGCACAATAAACATGCTCGCAAATTTCTTAAATCTTTAGGGACAGTTTCAACGGACATTATTGTGGGGTCGATTATTGTGTTAGTTTAACCGGAAATTATTTTTACGGATGAGCTTGTTTGATATTTTATCGGCATGTTTTGTGAACATGTTCTCCGGAAAACATAACTTGATTGACTTTTAATCTAAAATTCCACTTATTAATCGATCTCTTTTATGATGCGGCTTGAAACGCCCATATAAAGTAAACGGTCAATAAAACACTTTGAACATCTACTGTACAATATACCACCGAGCAATTAAGACTGACATTAACTCGGAGGCACTTGTTTAAAAAAATGTTTTAAAAGTGTTACGCTATTACTGTACATATAAAGGAGAACAAGGTTATTAAGAGGAAAAAAAAACAAGCAAACAAACGTTACTGCGGGACTAGAAAGGGGCTGTTGTCACCAATCTATCCTTGAAGGTACTGGATTTGACCTGGGAGATTATTCCAGTACCTACATGTATAAGAGTCTAGGGAAGTAGGGGTTGAGGTAATACTGAATACGGGACTGGTGAATCAGGAAATTCAAATTGCGGTTGTTATGATCAACATAAACAAGACTTAATGTATTTTGTAAAGGAATATGAAGAAGGATTGGAGTTCCATAAGCTGAACTACGGCACAAAAATACCTATCACAACTTTTCGGCCGTTTTCATCAGTCTTCGGATGAGGATCTCGAGCACATGTGCGCAATAGATCTAGTGCGGATACGGTTATTCGGTCTTTAACTAAACATGTAATCAAATAGTAATTTAATGCTGGGAATTGTTGAAATCAGAATTGAGACATCTAAATTTACAAAGAGTAATTGCTAGATTACTTGGTAAACATGGGAAATAATGTTCTAATTTGAATTGAGTTTTATATATTCTAAAATATTATTATAAACACTTAAGCAGAATTGAAAATAGCTGACACTAGTCCATTCTTGTAAAAACTGATCACATAATCGTGATTTTATTACATGTTTAAAATTATTAAAATCTGTAACATTCTTACAGAAAATTTAAAGTTTGAAAGTCAATAATATCTGCCTCAATCGTGTCAAAAATACCAATATTTGAATAGGTAGACCCTTCAGAAGGGATATAATTAAATTGCTCCAAAAATACATTTCATATTAATGACACTCTCATCAATTTGAAATCATATACAATTTTCAAAATAATTATCACAGAACTTAACTAACTTTATCAAAAATATCTTTGTTTACTGGGACTCCAATACATCCAGATTTTTTTAAACAAAATTTCTTACTTAAAATTTATGTTATTTCAGTACTGTATCAGTGATTTTCCTACTTATATAACAGACTCCGAAAAAAAGGCCTCTTCCCATTTGAAATTTTCTTTAGAATCATGCAGTTTTCCCAAAAAGCTTTTTTACTTCCCACATTAGCAATTTTAGCGATAATGTCCCCCAAAATTAAGAGGTTAAGGCCTCTTCCCAATAAAATGAGAAAAATCACTGTGTATACTGTCATATACACATCTAACTGTTTCTAACAAACAAATAACATCATATTCATTGTTGTAGAAACCGAAAATACAAAATGCCAAACTGTTGACATGAAGTCGGATTTGTCAGTGGGTATAGTTCAGTGTAGCAATACCGCGTGACATTGACGTCATTTTCGGCATCATTTCCAAGACAAATGTTGCTCGATTCGGAAAAGAAAATAGCCGTAAATATTTTATTTCTGTACCAAATTGGGGTCTAGCACTGCCACAGAAGGGAAGAAATATTTCTTCAAACCAGTCCTTACATATAGTTTCTGTCATCCATGCATTCTCTTGGAAGGCCCATTTAGTCCCTTGGGGCGCTGCAGCCGTGTTCCACGAATATAGTGACCGTTGGGTCTTAGTACCTTTCACGATCATAAGAGGAGGCATAGCTTGACCACTTGCACTTACACATGCCAGGATGCACATTCAGGATCACTTCCATCTGTACCAATATCTTTGGGATATGCACCAGTCTACGGGGGAAAATATAAGCTTTCCACAGAATATTGGATCTTCGTCAGTTTATAAGCCGTTTTATCAAACACTTTGCATAACCTTGGAAGTTGCTTCCATTTGTATGCTGTGAAAAGGGTTACGCCTCAACGCGGCAATTTTAAAGTCAAATGTTATTCTTTTGTAATGAGTAATTTGTACGTATAACCATATATATACTTGGAAAAGAACCTGTAGCAATGTTTTAGTATGATAGATTCAGCTTTTTAACACAGTGGCACTCGTTGATAAAAAATATTTTTACATCCTGTTTTCATACCCACGGTAACCATTTTTCGTGAACTGGATATAACTTCGTTCACTTAAGAACTCTAAACACTATTTATTTTATTATTGCATTTATTTCTGTTGATAAACTGCATATCTGACAAATTTAGTTAATTATATCAGTCAACCAAGCTTTATCAGAGAGCTCACCAATACACATTGTAAAGAGAGGAAGGGAACGGAATATTTATGGTTTGAAAACATTTAAATCGAGTAGAATTTTTTAACAATAATGTCTGTTTCAACATGCGCTAATTTTCAACATGCATGACCTGCACATGTCCTCAACAGGATTTTTGTAGCATTTTAAGATTTAAAAAAGGACCACATATTAAAATCTAAAACATGATTAACATGATACATATGCCAAATAAGTGAATTATCTGATATGTAAATTAAGAAGTAATAAAATTTGAAAAATTGAATATACTCTTCAAATGTAATCGTGATTTTGCTTATGTTAGCTATCAATTAATTATTCAATGGACCCCCAGTCATAGATCTTGCCGGTGTTGCTATTACAGATGTTAATGTAAGTTTTTATATAATTATTGATAATCATTGTTATTTCCGTCTTTTTGAATGTTTTGTTTCAAGACATTTGACTGTGATCGATGGCTGTTGGTTTGTAAAATCATTTATCTGTTTACTATTTTCTACTTTGTTTACGTACTCCACATGGCGTCCATTCTTGTTATTTATTGGCGACTCATGGCTATTTTGGACCTTTTTGATAAATAGAGAATCATAAGTAATGCAACTAAGTAACAATACTATCAGGTTTACTCGGCAAAGTTCCAAGTTATATGTAATGATATTTAAAATTGTTCTACACAAAGAACAAAATCTGACTGATGATGAAAATGCTTATAGTTTAATAAGCATAAAATGTCAACGTCATGTTAATGCGCGTGACAATTAGATTCATGATTTTAATACCGATACATGTGCATAGTACTTTAAATTGTGATTTCGTTTATCAAACTCTATAGAAATTTATTATACGGCAATTCCAGAAAAAATATATACCTTTTAAAAGTCTCTCTTTTGAGGACAGAATAACCTATTCGTCACATTCACGAGTGTCAGTGTTTGTCAGTTACTCTTTACAAAAAATAGACTGAAAAAATTACCTTAAGCTTTACAACACTCGCGTTAAAGTGTAACCCTTTCCGTAGCATACAAAAGTTGTTTTTTATTTTAAGCCTTTCTCTCACTGAGAGCACATATATTTCTTATCAATTTCGCCATTGTGAAATAGAATAAAACACATTTTACTACATATATTCTGGTGTGTTGTATTCATCTCTACACATTAATTTTCAAGTACATTACTTTATCATTTATTAATAAAAATGAAATCTATAATCAAAACAATTCAAATGTACTGTAATATTTTCATTATTCAATAATTGTTACATATAGTCTTCATATACAACCTTTCCAAGAAATTCATTTATATTGGACAGCAAGTGAACAAGGGTTTTTCCATAATCAGGCTGTGTTACCAACTTCTTAACTTTAGATGACCCATTCACAATATTGACTAAAACATTTTTTCTATTTTTTTTGGCTACTTCTGATTTTAAACCAATGTGATCCATGTTCAAACTTGAGCAAAACCTGTCACACACATTCTTACGATGTTGTGTGACAATTGGGGCAAACGTGTGACGAGTAGAGTGTTAACAAACTACACTTTATTGGTGGAGGAAGACCCCAGGTGCCCCTCCGGGCATTATTTCAGGCACGAGCGGGCACCTGGGTAGAACCACCGACCTTCCGTAAGCCAGCTGGATGGCTTCCTCACATGAAAGAATTCGACCCGAGTGAGGATCGAACCTACAGCGGTGAGGGACCTGTGATCTCAAGTCAGCGACCTTAACCACTCGGCCACGGAGGCCCCTTAACAAATTAAATGACCAGTCAAGTGTTAACAACTACAAACAAATAAAAAGTAAAAGATAATTATTTAAACGATTGAAAAGTCTAATTTTATGGGTATTTTTATTCATATACCTTTCTTATCGCACGTCCAATGTGGTTTTCGGCTTTCGGTTTTTAACGTTTTTCATAGTGTATTTATTACAAAAAATAGCTGACATTTGACAAAGGTAATAAATTTATGTTAACGGTTGAAAAATGTATTTAGCAGCACTTTTTTAAATATATCTATTTTATCAAGTCAGCGACCTTAACCACTCGGCCACGGAGGCCCCTTAACAAACTATGACCAGTAAAGTGTTAACAACTACAAACAAATAAAAAGTAAAAGATAATTATTTAAACGATTGAAAAGTCTAATTTTATGGGTATTTTTATTCATATACCTTTCTTATCGCACGTCCAATGTGGTTTTCGGCTTTCGGTTTTTAACGTTTTTCATAGTGTATTTATTACAAAAAATAGCTGACATTTGACAAAGGTAATAAATTTATGTTAACGGTTGAAAAATGTATTTAGCAGCACTTTTTTTAAATATATCTATTTTATCGCAAGTAAAATGTGTTTATTTGTTGTTTTTTTTTTTTTTGTTTTTTTTTTTTATTATTATTATTATTATTATTATTATTTTTTGGCTTTTCTACGTTTTTTTTGACGCTTTCATACAATGTTTATTACAATACATTGCTAAGAAATATAATGTTATAATCATTCATTTAGACGGTTGAAAAATTTATTTAACAGTTCTTATTTTAAATATGTCTATTTCATCGCCCGTAAAATGTGTTTTTTGGCTTTTCCATGTGTTGATGCTAGACCGTTACGTAGCCGAAAAACACTTTCATACTGTATTTATAAAAATAATATCA